TACCCAGCAAGGCAACCACAACCATGCACAACTCTCCCTTCAACCTTCAATGTGTAAATCGACTCACAGACGTAAAAGTAAGATTCGAGATTGTTCAGAAAGCAGTAATTTACGTATGTTACAAAAAAATGTCACGGAAGATCAGGGAAATTGATAGCCCTAAGACCAATAAGTCGTTTGCTGAGGTTAGTTCCCCTGATAAACTCGAAACAGTATCTGTCTAGGGATGTATAAAACTCATTCCCGGCCTTGAGGCCTGATATGAGAAACTTAAAGAAGCAAAATTGACTATGAATTAACTCTATAAACAGAAAAAACCCTGAAAATAACTCGAACTCTAGTGGGATGTGGGAGATAAAAATTGACTATTAAGTAAACTCTACAAACTCATTCCTTACATCCCTAAAACCCAGGAAAAAATCCCAAACTACACACGTTCTTAAAAAAAATTCCCAAAATACATACGTTATAAAAAAATTTCCCAAAGTACACATGTTTGGCATTCACCGTTTTTGACAAACGCAGTGAAGGTAATCACCGCGTTTGATAAAAACGGTGAACATTTCACCGTTTTAAATAAAAACGGTGATTCCTTCACCGCGTTTAACAAAAACGGTGAAGGCTTCACCGCGTTTAATTAAAACGGTGAAGGCTTCACCGTTTTAAACTGAAACGGTGAAGACTTCACCATTTTTATTAAACGCGGTAAAGGAGTTGACGTGGACAAACGCGGGGTATTCACCGCGTTAGACAAACACGGTGAATACCCCGTGTTTGTTTACGTCAGCGATCCGGGCCAATTTGCTTTCACCGTGGCCGTTGGATGCGGTGAGACGCGGATCGTGGTTTTCTTCCCACGATCCGACGCCTCACAACACGCCACGTCCCCTCGACATACACCGCGTTTGTTGACAGCGGTGAGTTCACCGCGTTAGTCAAACGCGGTGAAGGCGCTCCAATTGAATGCTGCGCAGGCGCCTCCCCCCTTCCCCCAACTATAAATACCCCCTTCCCCTTTCACTTTCAACTCACCCCACAAACATTTCACTTCTTTCTCCCTCAATTTATCCGCTCTAGTCTCGTTCTAAGTATGCTCTGTGGTTGCGGCTAAGTCCGATCTTCCACATCAGAAAGAATTACTAGAGTTTGACCCTAAAGCCCCCGTCCCTTACAAACCTAAAATCGTCGAACCTCTGTCCGGCCTACGCCAAAAAATGGACGAAGAGGCTCTTCGTGTAGGTTTTTGGTTTATGAATTTTTTTAATCGAAACAATTTAATTTTTTGTTTTTTTATCAAAACAATCTCTGATTTCATTACTTTTTTATAGATGGGTGCCGAGATATACGATCCTCGATTGTATATCCATTACGGCCCAAGGGATGCGAGTCTCTTAACCGATCAAGAAGCTCATCGCTCCCGTGCTATTTGGGATAACTATCCGGTAATTTTTTGAGTATTCTTGCTTTATTTTATTATTTTCTAAGGTTTTATTTTGCTTTAGTTAATCTAATAAATTGTTATTTTCCCTATTTGTTTTAGGAATCGCTTGTTCCCGTGGTTCATAAAGGGACCAATAACTTGCCCGCTTGGCATCCAAGGTTGGAGCCCTACATAGCGAGGACCGGTTTGGGAATGTTGCGCCATTTCTTGCGGATCGAGATCGACAACGATCTGCTTACGGCAATGGCGGAACGATGGCGTCCCGAAACCCATACATTCCACCTTCCGGAGGGGGAAATGACGATCACCCTCAAAGACGTGGCGATCCTCACCGGGCTTCCTATTTCTGGAGATGCAATCATTGGTTCCACGACCAAACCCGAAGGAGGTTGGGGGCCGCTCATACGTGATCGTTTGGGCTTCGACATGCCGACCACCACACCAATTCAAGGACGGGGGCATCCACCGTTGAATGCGGGGCAAGTGTCGATCCCGTGGCTGGTATCTCACATCCAGCAAGAGGTGGAAATCAATGACGAGACACCGGAAGAACAAGTCGAGCGCTACGCCCGCATCTACCTCATCGGTTTGGTGGGTGGATTTTTGTTCCCCGACAAGTCCAACCGGTGGATTCAAGGCATATGGTTGCCATTGCTCACTGGTGACTGGGATGCAATTGGAGAGAAGAGTTGGGGATCGGCCGTGCTAGCGGGCGTATACCGGGAGCTGTGTACTTGCTCGAAGGTTGGGGCAAAGCAAGCTGGTGCTGCGATGTTCATCCTGCAACTGTGGGTATGGGAGCATCTCCCGATGTTCGCACCTCCCGACCCACGTCCATACCGGAGAAACGATGATGAACTCAACTTTCTGCAAAATCTCCCCTACGGTGTCAAGTAAGTTTATTTCGTACTTAGCCCAATTTAATTTTGATTGTGTACTTAGCTAGATTTAAATTGAATTTATTCCGTACTTAGCCCAATTTAATTTTGATTGCATGCTTAGCTAGATTTAAATTGAATTTATTCCGTACTTAGCCCAATTTAATTTTGATTGCATGCTTAGCTAGATTTTAATTTTATTTATTACGTACTTAGACCAATTTAATTTATTATATGCTTAGCTATATTTCAACTAAATTGAATCCGTACTTTTACTTACAAGGTGGATAGGAGCAAATACGAATGACCATCAACCTGAGCATTCGTTATTGTTTTATCGTTCTGAGTTAGATAAACCATGGTGGAATCAGGTAATCATATTCCAACCTTATTTGAACAAGTTAAATTTTGTCAATGTAAATGGTCATTAATTCCGAATTTTTTAATGAATATAGGTTATATGGGATCCATATCCACGTGAAGTGGGTGAGCTGCATCATCTTAGGCACCCTCTGGATCACGAGACGTGGTTGTGCAAAGTGCCATTGATCTGCTGGCACATGGTGGAATGGCACCTACCCGATCGATCTTTGAGGCAATATCGAATGGAGCAACCAATTCCACAAGACCCGCCAGCCGGTTTCAGGGAGCTACATGCTATTGACCTCCGACACACTGCAAAGAACTGGGTGCTAAAGCATGGATTCTACATCAACATCTGGGAGAATCGGTCCCAATGGGTGGTGCAAGGGATGCCGGAGACGAGACCGATGGGCTACCACGATGGGTACATGCAGTGGTATCGGAAGTTCACCATGAGATGGGTGTCAAAGCAAGGTGCTGTGATGGGGTCGTTGGTAAGTCATCCTAATCTCCCTCATTCAAAATTCTATTTATTTTAAGGTTTAGTTAATTTGATAAGATAAGTGCTTTCCTTAGGTTGATGGTTTGGAACATGCCAAGTACACCCTCGAAAGTGCGCCAACCATGGATGAGCGGAAGACTAATTGGTTGACCCGACTTATGAACAACCTCCTGAGTTGTACCAGAGAGCAAAGGAGGGATGTCGTGGCCTATCCTCCCGTTCCTGCCCCGGCACGACCCTCATTCCGTGATGATGCACCCATTGTGCCCCCGGTTGAGCCCCCACGAAGGAGCAAACGCAGGCCTCTACCTACATTCGATGAGGTGCGTACAACTCGAGAAACCAAGATCCCTGAACCGTTCGAGTACCAGTGGGCACCTACAGCGGAAGCCGGTGGAGGGTCATCGAGTCGTGGAGCATCTCAGGAGTGGGACACTTTCTCTCAATTCCAACATCAGCAACAGAGTTCGATGTACCAGACCCCGCAACAACAAACTCCGCAACCTCCGATCATTCGCCAAGCTACCGCTCCATCTCAGCCACCACCACCACCATATGTAACCCCAGTTGGGGCTCGGGTCAAGAGAAATCCGCGAGGAGCCGTTGAGCGAGCCCGCCAAGAAGCAGCGGCGGAAGGGGGAAGAAGGGGTCGAGGACGTCGTGGAGGACGAGGAGGAAGAGGTGGAGATGGGGGCCAAAATGAAGCAAATGAGTGAATTTATCGTTTTATCATTGTAGTGAACTATCCATGTTGTTTTTGTGCTTTTTAGGTGTTGTTATTTGAGTTTGCATTGTCTAAAAACTATCGTTTGCACTTAAGTTGTCGAATTAATTTTCTGGATCATTTTAGCAAGAATCAGTATCTCCCCTCAACACGAAAAAGTTGGGAAAATCAACCACGATCACATAGAATTTTACAGACCCCAATTCCGGGTCCAAACGAGTGAGATAAGTGAGTTCAAAGAGCGATCGTATCGTTAAAGTATCTTTTGCGTACTAAAAACTAAAACGCGCGTATCTTATTCGTTTGAGGTCGAAATAACGAGCCGTTTGCGGCAGCGCGATCGTATCGACAAGGAGAACATTTTAGAGTTAACATAATACTTGGACTTCAAATGTAAACGGTAATGAATAATTTAACAAGCCATTAATTTAGTAGCAGAATACAAGTAAATGCAAATTAAGTTGATGATGGTTGTCCTGGGCAACGCCTCTTGTCGTGACCAGGTTGTCTGCACTTAGAGCATCGCTTCGGTCCCCTTCTCGTCCGTTCAACTTGATCCATCTCATTGTGTATCCTTTCAACTCTAGGACGGCCTTTGGTGCGTTTTAGGTGCAACGGTGGGATAATCAACTTTCCAGCGTATATAGGCCAATACGCTTCATCTGGCATGGGGCTCAAAGCTGCATTATATGAGTTCCGTATCGCTTGTTCAGTGTAGTAAGGACTCACCAGGCTGTTTCTGTTCATGGTTATTGACTTAGCAACCGCCATTGCATGTGAACAGGGTATCCTTTCGTTCTGATACTTTTGACAAGAACACTCCCCTAATTCGTAGTGCAATTTTACCGTTTGACGATTGTGACCACGTCTCCCTCCACCCCATATACCTGTTTCGACAGCGAATATTCCTTCACTGCGGTCAAAAAGAACAACCTTATGCTTACTTGATTTTTCATCGTTCTTCTGCATTTGAGCGAATACGTCATGTGCTATTGAATGACCTTGCAACTCCCTCCCTATAGCTTGCTGTAGCCGAGCAACTCGCCACTCGTTGACTTTCCAGTAAGACATCTCCACGATGACAGAAACAGGCATCGCTCGAAGACCCTTGTACACATTATTTATACTTTCTCCATGGTTGGTAGTTGCAATGCCCCATCTGGCCCCGTTGTCCATATGGAACGTCCACATGGGCAACTCTTGACCTTCAGCCCATACTGCTCCAGCTCGGTGGGTCTGACGAATTGTTTTCATCTTCTGCTCATACTTTTTTGGTTGATGTGCAACCGCTGAAAGGTGAACAAAATCGAAATTGGTCAATACATGATGAATAACATCAGCTTAATAAACACAAACTTAAATCGCATAAGAAAAACATTACTACCTGCATTCCAAAGTTGATTTTTGATGTCTTTCTTCTTCCCAAATTTGTGCTGGAAATTGGCGAGCCAGTGTCGAATACACCATCTCCATCTCCATCCCCACTCGTCGGGAAAACCACCAACAGCATTCCTAATCCCCGCATGTCGATCGGATATAATCGTAATATCTTCCCGTTGTGTCACGTGTTCGTGTAGTTGGTCAAAGAACCATGCCCAACTTAAGCTGTTCTCCCCTTCCACTAATGCAAATGCAAGCGGGAAAATCCGCCTGTTTCCATCAACGCCAGTTGCAATTAGAAGACATCCTCTGTACTTCCCAGTAAGGAAAGTTCCGTCAACCTGAATAAAAATTTAGGATCTAATTAGTATGAAATTTACGTAACAGAAAATAATACAACATTTAAAATCGGCATCAGTTGGTTCTATACCTGAATAACCGGTATGCAGAACCCAAAACCGTCAATGCATGGTTTAAAAGCCCAAAAAAGACGATGGAACATCAGCTTATCCTGTACTCGAACTTGATCCTCAGTGTATACATTGTTGTATACTGGGACGAAAACAGTCCCAGGATTGGACTCCTCCATTGCTCCCATAAGTCTAGGGAGTAAAGCATAAGAATCCTCCCAATCACCATACACCTCAGCCATGGCTTTCTGCTTACCATGCCATGCTTTTTTGTACCGTATCGTGTAAGAATGTCGATCCTTCACCTCTGCCATGATAGCTTTCACCTTGATATCTGGTTGTGCTTCTATAAGGTGCTTAATAGTTCTCCCAACTTTCTTTGCTTTTAGTTGCCTGTGATCTTGGGAAAGTATAGAAGAGGAGCATGTGTGGATCGTCTCAGCTTTGCGAATCACCCAAGCACCCTTTCTCTTCATATTTGCAGCCCGCAGTTGCCACGTACAACCCTCTGCATCATGCTTGCATATGACATGTAGTTGTTTACTGTCAGAATATTTTACCTTCCACTCGAAATTGCGCCTCAACGCCTCTTCTGTAAACGCATCCTGCACAGCGTCTTTCGATGGGAACGCCATACCCACCTCCAAATTGGCCGTCGGATTGTACACTGGCATAGGGACATAATCAGGGGGATCATTCTGACTATGTAAAAATTGAGTTGGAACCTGTGTGTAATATGGCGTGGGTGCCTCACGAAATGCCGCCTCATCCTCGTTATCATCAGTATCTTCCTCCTCCTCGCTCACTGATCTCAAATCTTCCTCAGTATCCTCGTCGCTCGACTCGAATGGATAGCTCGGGCTAGAAGGATCAACATGACCACGATCACCAACATCGTCCTCTCGCTCATGCGAAGTACGCCCTGATTGAATGTTATTCTCGATTTCAGACCACTCTGGCCCCCAAGCAGGCCATTCAACACCATCGGCTAGTTGAGGAGGTTGCGAGTATTTGTCCCATCCTGCACTACTCGATCCACCGTAGTTGATTGAACCACCACCCTCCCCGTAACCTCCTGTATAACCACCGCCTTGGTAGTTGCTCGAACTACCACCCCATTCGTACCCTCCTGCAAAACCATCATCATAAGAATACTGGTGAGAATGAGATTCACCGACCGCCTCGGTCTCAACATACACCTCTGCAAGCCGGACTTGGTTATCGCTTAGGAACTGTAACATCATCGTAACCGCGTCATCATCGTTTATGACAACTTCTTGGAACACGAGCCCGCCAGCACTCATGTCTGGATACCGGTAAGTAATTTTGCCAAGTCTCGTCTGTCCGCTCGTACAAACCCTTTCTGCACAAAGATCACAGAGTTCTTGAAAATTGAATCGGGAACCAATGTTCAGCATAATGGATTCGCCGTCCTCATAATCAATGCCTATGTCAGAGTTTGTCACCCTTCCATTCCACCGAATAGTAAGATGAAACTTCTTGAATTTACCCATATCTACAAATCGAGGATAAGTATCTATTAGCTTAAAGACAGTAAAATTAACCAAAATCATATTGTACAACTAATATTATCCATCTCATAACTAACGAACATAAATTCAACTAACTAACAACAACATAATACGAAAATTAAATCATACTATAACTAACGAACATAAATTCAACTAACTAACAACAACATAATACGAAAATTTAATCATACTATAACTACTAAAAACATAATTAGACTATAATACGAAAAGAGACATACCAAAAAATGTCTGTTCTGCTCGATTTATTTGCTGAAATTTGAAGAAGGGGGGAGTGGTAAGTTTTTGCTTCTGCTGGTGGGTTGGTATTTATAGGAAAATTTGCTACTATTCACCGTTTTTGTCAAACACGGTGAACACCATCACCGCGTTTGTCTCAAACGGTGAATACTAGGTAGGTGTGACCTAATTTTGACCTACCAGGGGTGGGAAACGTGGGAAACAATCACCGCTTTAGGCAACCACGGTGAATGTGTTCACCGTTTTGCACTAAAACGGTGATGTATTCACCGTTGTTGACAAACGCGGTGAATACATCACCGTTTTTGATCAAAGCGGTGAATACTTCACCGTTTTAGTTTTAAACGGTGAAATATTCACCGTCTTTGTCAAACGCGGTGATTACCTTCACTGCGTTTGTCAAAAACAGTGAATGCCAAACATGTGTACTTTGGGAAATTTTTTTATAACTTATGTATTTTGGGAATTTTTGTTAAGAACGTGTGTACAGTGGGATTTTTTCCTAAAACCCAATCAAGACCAAAGAACTAAAGAAGCAAGCAGAACAACCCCAGCACAGTTATTCTCTTCAGTTTGAAAGCAAAGGCAACAACGAAATGAACAACCCCAACACAGTTTATGGGATTATATAAACCAAGACAGCTTCCTAGTTGACACTGAATCCTCCATTCACAAATACCTCCTAGGTCACATCAACGATCTGTGTGAGGAATGAAGTTATATGGTGGATGGCCACATCTATTTGCACAAAAAAGTGCAGACTTTCTGAAGCTTCATCAATCACGGAATGACTAAAGATGCCCCCATCTCAATCAAACTCGGCCGTGACAAAATACAGCACAACCAAGAACTACACTTGAGAGAGCTTCAATACTCATTGCACAAGACGTTAAAGCTAAAGAGATAGACAAACCAAATCACAGAAGAAGACACTGGAAAAGATGGAGCACATCAGAATTCCCACTTCACACAACTGATAAAACCGAGAGAGGGAAAGGAATATCGCATCTTATATCACCATATCCAATTGAGAATGCACATGAAGAAAGCAGTGGAGAAGCTTCAATTTCAATCCCAAATGGCTACACAGAATTGAGAAATTCTCTCTTCTACTTCCATAGTTCAATCTGGTAAAACGAGCATGGAATTTCAATCCCCCTACCGAAATTTGTAAATCTAGAACATCCCAATATAATCCCTAAACTGATAGCCATACTAACCGGAAAATTGAATAAAATTGTAGAACTGTAGGCATACTAACCGGAAAAAGTTGCAGTGGAGGAGGTAGGTCTTCGTTTGCTATCGATGGGAAGAGGGGGTTCTGTGCAGGGTCTTCGTTTGCTATCGATGGGAAGAGGGGGTTATGTGCAGGGTCTTCGTTTGCTATCGATGGGAAGAGGGTCTTCGTTTGCAATCGACGAAGAGATGCTCGCTCTCGTCGTCCCCTGCTCGCCGCCTTCACTGTCATCGTCGGAATCCGGCTCGCCGCAGTCAAAGAGATGCTGCAATCGACAAGCTTCTTCTACTCGTCGTCACCCACTGCTCGCCGTCTTCACTGTCGTCGTCAGAATCTGGCTCGCGTGGAGAGGATCGAAGGAAGAGGATCGAAGGAAGAGTAAACGGCGGTGAGAAGAGGTGAGAATAAGGCGTGGTGAATTGAATTCGTAAAAAAATTTCAGACAACCGGTTGTACCGGTTCTCCACCCACAAATAAAATAACAAATTAATAATTTAAATAAAATCTATGGTTGATATAGTTTGAACATAATCTAATGGCTGTAAATGTTTTATAGCACCAATACTATAAAGCACACTAAAATGCCTCGTCCGGAGTCTGGACTTTGTGAATGATTCGCATGCTTTCCCTCGTTACAGACTAGTTTGGAATTCAAGTAGAGTGTCCGTCAGTTTCAGGAATTTGAAGCTTTCGAACAGCTACAGAGAACCGTGTCACGACCATTGTTGCCTTCTTCACCACGGCAGTAGTTGTTGCTTTTGGTTATTGGAGTCACGTGTGGCTGCAATTTTCATGGAACCTGTAGATGTGAAATATAATAAGCTTTAAAAGCAATGGACTTTGATCGAGCGTGGGGTTCATGGGTTTGATTCTGTTCGCGTATTGACAGAACCATGTATTTATATGCCCTAGGTAGAGGTGGCAATTTCAATCCAATCCACTAATCCAATCCATCAATCCATTAAAAATATCCACCTAATCCAATCCATTTAAATCCAATCCATTTGATCCAAATCCTATTGGATTGGTGGATTCATGGATTGGATCCATGGATCATTGGCAAATTACGGTTTAGTACCTATAATTTTTATTGTTTACATTTTGGTACCTAAAATTTAATTTTTTATACAAAAAATATCATTGGAAAATTACGTTTTGGTACCTAAAAATTTTCATTGTGACATTTTAGTACCTAAACTTTTTACATTTTACATATTGGTCCTTGGTTGAGGATGTCATTTGGATTCATGGATAATCCACCAATTCACTTGATCCAATCCATGAATCCACCAATCCATTAGATCCAATCCATTTAATCCATTGATCCACCAATCCAATCCACCAATCCACCAATCCAATCCATTTGCCACCTCTAGCCCTAGGGAAGAGTTTGTCATTTTAAGTTATTATCTTTCAAGGACTGCTTTTCCATAAAGGTCGTTCCTTGAATAATTTGTTCCATGGTGTTTAGTTTTTGAGAGGACATATTCATGATAGTTCATTTGTTATCTGTATCTATATGCTGTTAGCTTATCTATTTAATTATATGCATCAATCCCATATTTTTGGATTGATTTAATCACTTTGTCTGTAACTTTTCAGAATCTACGGTATCTAGCTTCAATTCTAATTACAAGTGGATAACTCAAGCTTGACAGGCTGTTCGCAAACTCTCTGCTGTAGATTGGTCAGATTTTGCATGATGATTATGGAGGAGTAGCATCTAACTTGTGAATACTTATTTAATGTATCATGAATTCTTGTAATTGAGACTAATCTGTCAATTTTGGAATTCATTTGGCAGGGAAATTAGCATTGCAAAAGATGACGAAGAAGCAAAGGAGGGAGAAGTAGAAGAAAAAGAAGAGGAATGTGTAGTAGATAGAGGTTGGAGGAATCTGTTAATAGATCGTAGATTGCTATATTGCTTGTGAGTTCTTATGAATAGTTAACAGGTAAATCATGCGAGAAAGGAATTGGATTTATGATGAGCTGGTTTTTTTAGACTGTGTATGTTCATTTCTAGGCTATTTGAATTTGAGTTTAGTTTACGTATAACTACGATGGTTAGGCATGGTGAGACTGTGAAGTGAACCCATCTGCAACTTAAGTTGCTGGTCTCTTACGAACTGGCACCACCATGTTTCGTCATGGAAGGACTTGTTTGCTCTTCTTCACTTCTCTGCAGAAATTTGAGCTCTTACTTCAGCAACACTCAGTCACTTGCTCTCATAAAATCCTCGTGCGTGCATTTTCAACAGGACCCTAGCATTCCACACTGATGAAAGAGAGCCAGAAGAGATCAAATTTTGTCATGCTTAAACAAAAGAGAATTGGATTGATGGAAATAAATGAGCTGACTGCAAAGCCAGTCTCCATGTAACATTGACTTATTGGACAAAGTATAGGTATGCAAAAAAAATCCAACTTTCAGGATTCTATTAGTACAAAGAATTTGAACTTGTACATTACATCTATTCTACAACAGAAATACATTTGTATACTGAATAGAAGATAAGCCTAATTTGTTTCAAAGTCACAAACACCGAAACCCTCCATTGGTTCCCTTGTTTATTTTCACAGGTATAGTGAACAATATAGCATTCCTCCTGAAAAGCCTTCCTTGCTACGGAGCCAGAAGAAGCATCAACTCCTTGCCATTTACCAGCCATTCCTTGACCATATCAATCACGTGAAAAGGCACCTTCTGGTCTACTGCTATGTAGCCGCGTGTTGCAACTTGCAAGCACAGCAAAACAATTTCGACTAACCATCATAAATTAACACAATTTCGACTTCTGACTAGTGACTCCCACTTTCTGTTAATTTGAACTAGGATTGGATTCAAACATCTCAGGTGAAGGTGCACTAACCATGAGCATGCGATCAGCAGTAACCATGTGGAAAAGTCGTTTTATCTCTATTTCAATCTCAATCCTCAATGGCACTCGTCTTTCTCAGAGTGCTTTTTCCCGGAACCGGAACCAACTGGAGAAATAAACAACACACAATAGGAATTCAAAACCATAGATCACGATCTCCGCCATTGAAACTTCAACCAAGGCCAACTGCGATGAAACAACCCCTTCATTTTCCTTGGTTTATGGCGGAAAATAAGCCGATCGAATTAATGAAAAAAAAAAACAAATACAGAAAACGCAACGCAGGAGACGGAAAGAATTCTGTCTGTTTGGTCAAGTAGCGGTTCGGCCAATTCTAATGGGTCGTTAGGTTTGGGCTCGAATTAAACAAATCAGTTCATGCCACATCAGTTCCATGTGGACCAATCAGATTTTGCGTTACCGGTGCCGCATTTTTTATAGCGGCACCGTAGTATTGGCCTTATTTTAATGCTGCTTGTTGGGATTTAACGGTTACACTTTGAAAAGAGGAACACCACTTTGTATTATATACATGAAGGAAGTTTGAGATTTTTCATTCCTTTCGATGTGGTAGCTGTTTTCACTTTTCATTGCGCGGGGGTTGGCATTTTTTGCAATGCTCCAGTTTTAGCTAATTTTCTCTGCCTCTTGGATGCACTATGCAACCCCATTAAGTTTTGTTTTTCCCATAATTCATTCGCAGTAACGTTAGAGCTTGATCATCACTTTTCCTGTTACTAACCAATTTGGGTGTTTTATAGTTGGAAATTATTGTTTAACATTCATATATGTGTATTGATTTAGAACGTTGGATGTGTAATCATGTGTCTATTTATAATATTTTTGTTTATAAGTAACGGTTCATTAATGGCTTAACACCGGTTAGACCACTAAAGTGTGAACCGTTTGCTAAACCGAGTTGTGCTTCGGTTCGGTTTTGACAACATTACTCTAAACCATCCATACATTATACACTAACCACATACCCTATACCCTAACCATATATCCTTATGAGTTGTGATTTTGCTAGTATAGTTAATTTAAATGTGAAATTCATACTTTGATTTTCAAAACACAAATGAAAAAGTGATATTTGCTAATTGTTATACGCTAACCATATATCATATACTCTACACCATTGAAAAAAGAAAACCCACTAATGGGTCATTTACTGTACACGTAGACACATGTTACTGTCCATCGTGACCCAGCGTTACTGTTTCAACTTGGAAGGGACTCTGGTGTGGGCGGGTTTACGGTGGTCTCTATTTGGTTCTGGACAGGACTTGGCGATTCCGTCGCGTTGTGACCAGAGTTTGCCTACTGGTTGGAGTCCTTTCAGTGTCCATCACACGCAATGATCGCTCTGCACGTTTTTTCTCCTTCGGGTTCTTGGAGCGGACGCTTTTTTTGGGTGAGTGGATTTGGATATTTTTCCCATTACTCGAGGTCTCCAGGGACTCTGATTGGCTGGGGTTTTTCTTTCCTCAATGCAATCCTTGTGGTGGTAAGCAAGGCCACGTCGAGTGTCTTCGTTCTTGGGTAGTGGATACTGAAGAGTAGAGAAGGGTCTGCTTGGGAAGCCCGCCGGTGGGTGCTACATCCTCCCTTCTCCACCACACATTCCACCTAACCCAACCCGACTTTCACGAACCTTTAGCCTGTTTCTTTTTCAGTTTTTCCCTTATTTCCATTCCTCTTTCGGTCTTTAATTTCTTCTCGACTTCTCTCTCTTTTGTGTCACATCTCTCTATTTGGGAGATGGGTGGAGTTGAAAGCTACTGGGAAGCATACTCGATCGAGAGGGCTAGAGAGGATCCAGAACCATTGGTGACTTATCCATCTCTCTCTGGTGAGTTTGCTTTTCTCTTTTCTGGCTCCGTTCATCGTCCAGATCCGCTGGCTATTTCATTGATTTCGGGTGGTTGACGAGCTAATAGGCTTATTTCCGTTTGTCTGCCCTTCTTCACGCTTTCATCGAGTCACCTAGGTCATTTATTACCATCCTTTTGTTGCGAGTATCTCACTCCTCTTCTCTCTCTGTCTTTGTGTGTCTCCAGTAAAATGCAATTGAAGTAGCCAACAACGACAACCTACTGATAGCTTTTCATCACCGGTCATCCTCTAGAATCAAACGGTAAGCTATTCATACTTTCGTTTCTTTCTTTTTCCGTTTGAGATTCCATTATTTAAGTGGTCTATCGAGGGTTTTGAGAAGATCCATATATGTGGGTTCTGTTCTGTATTGGGTTCTCTTTTCTTTCGTAGCTTTGTTGATCTGATTGCTCATCTCCATGGATTTGCTTTGCTTACCGTTTTCTCGAATGAGTTTCTTTCTATTCTCTTGAGTTGAGTTGGGTTTGTTCAATGTCCATTATGGAGGTGGCATTCTTTTAAAAGTGACAATTATTATTGACCAGGGCCCGCTCATATTTAATTCGGTTACCTTCGGCGGGAGAAGGACGGATATGTCGTTTTTGGTGATGGTTTGTGTAGCGGAGGTCCCAAGGTGGCCAGGAGGTTGATGGGTTCAGTTTTACTTGCTGATTTCAGGAAAGAGATCTGGATGCCGCCTCATGTGTGTGTGACTGATACCTTGGTAAGTAGTTTCTTCCCCATTTTTGT